TAATGTGATTATTATATTACATATAATTAGCATATACTACATATTGAAACTCATAATGGTTACATTTCAGAAGCAAGTCATGCTGGATGGAGTATCTGGGGCGCTGGCAATATCTGATTTTGTTATTCTGTGATGGTTTCGTGATTACGTTGGCTTTGAATTATTCATCAAACTGCGTACTTGTACTTATGGTGTACAAACTTGCATGTATGTTGTGCTCCAATTAAAATTTTCCGAAATAAGATTTACTTAAGGTAGCTAATGTCATACTTCATGGAAATTTTACAGCCCTACACCCATACATTTGGAATGACAAAAGCCCGGAAGTCAGTAAACTGAGCAAGAAATTTTTTAAAGTAGAGAATTGAATATGAACAAATAAGTAAAGAGCAGAACGTAATAAACTAGAACGCAAATACATAAGAAAGATAAACCCAGAACCTGAAGGTAGCACTGAAAAGACTAATATAACTAATAAACTATTTCTAAGTCAAGTCATGAAAAGAAAGAGGTAACAACAAATCGACCAAGATTGAGATGGGGACTGCCACCACAGATCCTGCAGGTGTAAGAGAACACAAGAGGACATTATAAACAACTTTATGTCAAGATGCTTAAGAGTTTATATGAATTAACATGTTTTCAAAAGTAAAATTAAGATAAATCAAACATTAAAATATGAATAAATTTACTAATAACAAATTTTATTTCTCCATTTAACTTACTTCATGAAGAAAACTATAGGCACAGAGAACTTTACTAGAGAATTCTACCAAATATATTGTGTAGCTTTTATAAAGCTCTATCGCCAGTCTTAACTGTGACAGAGAAAAAAGGAAGAGAGAGATACACTTCTTAATTGTTTAATGGCCAAGCACATCCTTGGTTCCAAGGATAAGAAAACAAAATGACAAACCAGTCTCCACAGATGAGCATAGATGCAAAAAGGCACTATTAAGATGTCTTAATTTTTTAAAATGTCTTAATTGATTGTTTTTCTCTGGTGTGAACCTCCCTTTGAATCTAAACAAAACAGCTTCAGTGTTTACTGAAAAATTTCAAAGAATAACCACAAGGCACCTGGATCCAGAGTATTTATCTGAGGATATGTCATCGGGCCTCCACTATGAAAACAGAATATATGTAGATGGTGGCCAGATGTCTCTAAAAACAGCCAAGAATTGGGGATAAGAGAAAGAAGGTTTTTTTCCTTTCTCTGCAACACAGCTTGTAATTGTATATTTGTTCCTTGATTCCAAAAGAAGCTTTAGATGGGTATACAATTATTTTCTGTGTTTATACATTGAGAGGTAAATTATCCTTTTCCACAAATGTCGTATAAAAGATATGTGTAATTTATTTATTCATTTTTATTTATTTATTTATTTATTTATTTATTTACTTATTTATTTATATCCCGAACCACCATTATCTTTCCCCATCCATTAAAACTGGAAACAGAATAGTCATCATCATTTAGTTTGTTTTTTAAATTACTCTTATCAAGAAACTTCTTCTAACTTGTTGCTTATTTATTTTTATTTTATATGTATGAATGTTTCATCTGCATGTATGTAAGTGCACCATGTTCATGCAATGCCTGCAGAGGCAGAAAGAGGACACCGAATCCCCTGGGAACTGGAGTTAAGAACAGTTGTGAACCGCCATGTGGTGCTGAGACCTGTACCTGGATCCCCTCCAAGAGCAGCCAGTACTCTTAACCACTGAACCATCTCTCCAGTCCCTCAAGAAACCTTATAACCCATAATATTTTAGTCAGGATTCTGGATGTGGTCCATATTCATTTGATATTCAACCAAATGTTAATATACACTTGAGCAATATAAAAACCTTTTAGCAATTAGTCAATCATCATGACAACCCAGATAAGCAAATTTAGACTTTGAAACGTTATTGTTGCCTTCAAAGCTTGAAAGTAACAAAAAAATCAATAGATCACTAATATATCAAAAATTGTCAATACTTTCCCACTCATATTTTCAGGTGTTGCTTTTCCTGTTTGTCCGCTTAAGCAATAATGTGATCTTTTTTTTCCTTTTTTACTGATTTGAAGTTCCCTATTTTACAAGTACTATTATACTATCTAAATGAGTTTTTAAAATATGAATACACTTCACATGCCATGCAAACTTCCCAAGTTATAGCACTCTAAAATGTTTTAAAGTGTGATCAAGGTCAAAACAGATAAAAGGAAACATCTAATCAACCTATGGTAAAGTATACTTAGGAAATGTATATGAACAGATAAATAAAAATATCCTACATGCTAAAATATTCTATTATTCTGTAAACAGGTAGCATTGCAAAGGGGGAAGGATCCTAGATCATTTTTATCCTACTAGCATATCCTAGTTGTATGCTATTTTTCAGTCATTTATGGCAATATGTTTTTTCTAAAAATTACTAACACCTCAGTTATAAATGACATGTTGAAATTTACACCAGAGGCACCTTCTTAGATGCCAGTCTAAGAAATCAGGCTGTCATCAAGAATCTTAATAGGAAAAATGTGACATGAGGCATAGTATTTGTTGCACAGTGGATAGGTTTGGGTCTGTTGCATACTATCAATAAGAGAAATGCAGACAAAACCCATGTTTGACTGGATTTCTTAGGCTGACAATTTTTATTATAAACTATATCAATATATACTATCATCTTAGAATTCTACAAAATATAAACAGTATCAGTATACATTGTATCCCATATGTCTATCACTTTATCATTATAGATTAAAATGTGATGAAAGGATATTCTCTGCTGTTTGATTTATGGTGGAAAAAGGGTGTATGCACCTAACTCTGTGTGTCTGTGCGCCCATGTGCCACATGACGAAGCCAGAGGAGGATGTCAGATGTCTTCCTGTATCATTCTCCCCTTTCTTTAAAAAAGGATTTCTCACTGAACCTGAAGTTTGTGTTAGACTGGCTAGCCAGTGAGCTCCCGGGATCTACCTCTCTCTGCCTCACAAAGCAGACATAGTCATGTCCTGGCTTAAGAAGCATGTAAAGTGTGGATGTTGAGGATTCAAACTCAGATTCTCATTTCTTGCATATGGCAAATGTTCTTACCCACTGATACATCTCCACAGCTCTACTTTTTTCTTTGAAATATTTCATTTTCCTTTAATTCCAGATTCACTGGCCTTCCTATGACTGACATTTTCTAGTCAAAAGTGTTTCCCAAACAATCCCTGACTTCTGAACTTCAGTTCTATCTTCATCACTCTCTTTTAGAGAAAGCAAGGAAGTAAAGTAAATAAATGGCCAATTTACACATTAAATGCTTTGATACCTAATTGAAGCACAGGGGTTTCTCCCTGAAACCTGAGATTTTTTAGGTAGCGTTTGCTGCAAATTTGACAATGTATTGGCCCCTTTGCTAAAGCCCTGGACCCATGCTTAATCCCAGATTATAGCAGAGGCTTTTTTCATAATAATTTTAGAGCCCTTAAATTCCTCTGCTCTGCCATTTTGTAGTGCATGTCACGTGGCAGAAAATAATCACTGACCATTATATTTGGAAATGTGCATAACAATAATAGTAATATTCCATTTAAAAAGTTTTGAAATGGCAAAAAGCCACTGAAGTGTTCAAATTACTTAACTTTTAATAGGTACATTACTCTCAAATATAGTGGCCTCTAAAATAATAAGAAAATTAAATCCAAATTGAATGGGTTTTGAATAATAATACCCCCAAATCCACAAATGTCATGTTTCTTCTTTGTGAAATATGCTAATAAAAAATAAAAGTTGGGGCTGGAGAGATGGCTCAGCAGTTAAAAGCGCTAGCTACTCTTGCAGAGGACCTGGGTTAGACTTCCAGCACCCACATGATGGCCAACAACCATCCCTAACTCTGGTTCCAGGGGATCCAAAGCCCTCTTCTGACCTCCACTGGCATTGCATGACACAGGTGCACTTACATGCAGGTAATACACTCATACACATAAAATAAAAATAATAAAATATTTTTAAATAATAAAAATTGTCAAGTCGTATACCCAATTGTATTAGCTTCTTTATATCAACACATATAGGTGTTCTGAAATATACTTGCAATTTCTATGTATTTACAAAAGTGCTGTGGACCTCTTAGCTATATTTTGGAGTGCCTATCTCAAAGAGTATTGTTCTAAAATGATAGAAAAAGTACAGGATACAGAATATGCCACATTTTATTAAATGGTGCATCATTAAAGAGTCAGATCAAATGCCATCTCCACTACAAAGCTCTTTCTGATCCTCTCCTCCTCATCCAAATATATCATGTTTTTTTTTCTCTCTCTCTTCTATGAACATCCACTGCCATTTATTTTACATCTCTTGTGATTTTCATCTTCTCATACTGTATTGTGGTGATTTGAATAATTGTCTCTTCCATATTTTGTTCATGGTATGCATACTCCAATTTTTTATTTTAGTTATCAGAGTGCCTTACACATATCTACTGCCAAGAAACACTTCAGCAGTTTTTGTCTTTAATTTTAAACCTCTCTGCCACGTTATTCTTAGTGATTTCACTAGGTTTTAATGTTTTGTCCCATTCCTCAAAAATAAACTATAAGGGCTGGTAAGATGGCTCAGTAGGTAAAGGTGCTTGCCACCAGGCCTGAAGACTTGAGTTCAACCCCCAGAATCCACGTGGTAGAAACCAACTCCCTAAGTTGTCCTCTAACCTCCACATGCATACCATGGTTCACATGTGCGCGCGCACGCACACACACACACACACACACACACACACACACAATAAAGAAATCTTTGAACATTAATTTATAAAAATATAAAATAAGCTCCTTGAAGCCTAAAACAATATTCTAACACATTAACACTCCCAAAATTCTTAGCACAGTGTGTACTTAGAAATTGTTCAAGTGATTAAAAGTTGCCAAAGACTCATCTAAGAAACATTCCAGAACATATCTAGCAGCTATCTCCTTGTCAGATGAATCAAACCTCTTCAAATTTGCTTACCATTGCAATGACATCTGTATGATCCCCTTTCCCATTCCGAATCTGCACACAGGATATTGGCAAATTCAGTCCTACACCAGTGGTCAGATCTCGCAGGTCAGCAGCTCTGTATTCCCCATGCAAGAGCAAACTGTTATTACCAGAACCAAGTCCCAGAGAGGCCCGATAAAGATATGTCTGGGAAAGTCTCTCAATTGTAGTGACACCTATTGTGGCTGATGTCATATAAGGATTAGAAGCTATCGTCCTTTCATGCCTCACATTTTCTGGACAATGGCAGCAGCTCTGAGAGCAACAATCTGGGCTCTGGCTCAGTTTGATGCACACAAACAAAAGTAAGCACCCTAGAAATAGAAAGGAGATGCAGGCCAGAGCAATTACTAAGTACAAGTTCTGAGAAGAGAGCTGTCCTCTTGGTTCCCAGGTGTCTTCAAAGTCTGGAAAGACCTGAGGAGCAGAGTTGCTCAACAGCACGCCCAGAATAACAGAGGAGGAAAGTGGTGGGTCTCCATGATCCTGAACCACTACTACTACCCTCTGCCTAACTGCATCAGTGGGGAAAACTAAGCGTGCCATCCGCAACTCTCCCATACTGACTGAGATTCTGAAAAGGCTAGAGTCAGATGCCTGAGAGATATGGTAGGAGAGCCAGGCATTGGAACCACTATCTGCATCCTCTGCTACCACTTTTGTAACCAGGTGTCCAGCTCTGGCAGAGCGGGGCACAATTTCCACTGGAATAGAGCCATTTCTAGGCAAGGGAAACAATATATTTGGAGCATTGTCATTCCTGTCTACTACAAATAGGTTTATAGCCACTGTTGCACTTCTGGGAGGAATGCCACCATCTCGGCCTTCCACTTGGAAGTGAAAATTCCTGAGCTGTTCAAAGTCAAAGGAAGTTTTGGCAATGATAGCCCCACTGGATGGTTCCACTGCCACCAAACTGGAAGCTGGCCTCCCTTCAGAGATTTCATCTAACAGCTCATACAAGACAAGGCCATTTTCCCCCAGGTCTGGGTCCTGGGCAAACACACAGCCTAAAGAAGTTCCAGGGCCATTGTTTTCAGCCACATAAAGCTCCTGTTGTGGTTGAGAAAAGCTTGGTGTATTGTCGTTCACATCAGCAACTGACACGGTGAGTATCCTTTGGGTGCTGAGTGGGGGTGAGCCACCATCTGAGGCAGTGATCAGGACCTGGTATTCACTTGCTTGCTCCCGGTCAAGGGGCCCACCAATCAGCAAGCTGTAGTAGCTGTCGAAGGACGCCTTCAAGTGAAAAGGCCCTTTGCTGGACATGGTACAAGTGACCTTACCATTGGAACCAAGGTCTTCGTCCTTTACACTAAGGAGAGCAATTACTGTGCCAGGAGCTGCATCCTCAGACACTGAGCTGGAGAAAGTAATGAAGTCCATCTGGGGGGCATGATCATTCACATCAGTCACCTCTACAAGCAGTTTAGTAGTGCTAGCCATACTAAGGGCACCTTCATCTCTTGCTTCAACATACACCTCCAACAGGGTCTCAGGTGGACCTAGTGAAGCAGCCACCTGAACCTCTCCACTTTTAGGATGCACATGGAAGAGATGCCTCAGCTCTGCTAGTGTGCTGTTGCTTAAGGAATACCAGACTTCCCCATTGGCTCCTTCATCCAAATCTGAGGCTTGAACTTGGACTAACACAGTCCCATTGGGCACAGTTTCTGGAACCTTGGTACTATATACCGAGTGCTCAAATACAGGTGCATTGTCATTTGTGTCCACCACAATGATAGTGACCTGGGCATCTCCAGAGCGTGCAGGCCAGCCGCCATCCTGAGCTGTGAGCACTAGCAAATGGGTGTCTCGCTGCTCTCGATCCAGTGCTTTCTCCAACACCAACTCTGGGTATTTGCTGCCGTCCATCCGCGATCCCATATCCAGGCGAAAGTGCTGGCTGGGGCTTAAGCTGTAACTAAGCACTCCGTTGCTTCCCTCATCAGCATCTTGGGCGTTTGGGAGAGTAAAGCGGGCTCCTGGTGTCAGGAACTCTGGAATGTGTAGCTGCACGTCTCCGGCTGGGAAGAAAGGTGAGTTGTCATTGCTGTCCAGAATGTGAACTCGCATCTTGTGTAACTCCAGAGGGCCCTCGAACATTAGCTCGTATGTCAAAATGCAAGCAGCTTTGGTCCCGCACAGCCGCTCTCGGTCCGCCGGCTCTCGAACCACCAAGCTACCGCTGCCCAGGTCTACCCCGAAGTAGGATTCGCTGTGGCTGGAAAGGAAGCGAAAGTTCCGCAAGGACAGAGCAGCCGCTGACAGCTTCAAGTCCACAGCGATGTTGCCCACTGTCACGCCCTGTTCCGACTCCTCCAACACTGAGTACTCCAGCTGTCCGGCTGCAGCACCACAGGACACCCACCAGCATAGAACCGCCACCCTCCAGCCCACCATCCTCCCTTTCCGCGTCCACGCTCCTCCTGCGGTGACCCAGGACCATGCTCCGGACTTCCGGAGAGCACCAGCCACAAAGGAGGGCAAACTCCTCGGGCAGTTTTCACTGCAAGCTACACCGCGGTTACCTGGGGAAGGCTGGCTGCTAGCTAGGCGTGCTGGATGGAGGCTTGGCAGCCATCTGGGCCAGTCCAGCCCGCGGGGTGCGGAGGAGCGCAGCGCCGCCTAGGGTCGCCACACACAGGGGACCTGGGCTGGGCTGGGCTGGGCTGGGCTGGGCTGGTCTGGGCTGGGCTCCACTAGGCAAGCGCGGTCTTCACTCTCTCTGCTCTTCTGCCCAGCTCCGACCGCCAGCGCCCAACTTGGAAGATGCTCTAAGAAACTAACTCGCCTCCCACGGAAGGGTTTTCCTAGGTCAATACCCTGAGGCCGCACAGCAGGTAACTGGGGCACAGTCCTGCAAGGCACCCTCTCGCCAGCTACTGGCCAGCAGGGGACCCCACGGTGTGACCCAGGACCTCCTACTGACCCGCTGCAAGAGCGGAATTCTTTGCAGAACCGCAGGGCGGAGGCGGTGAGAGGAGGAACTGTGGACGTGATCAACCACACCTTCAAGATTTAAGGAAACAGGATCCCCCATTGAGTGTTGTGCATTCCCCGAGGGACTGATTCCCAGCCTTTCTGCTGCGGATTGAAGGTTCTTCCCCGCCCTCTTAAGTCTGAGAAGCTGCCAAGAGTTCAATACAGGCGACAAGGAGAGGTCGCTGGAGATCGCTGTCCTTTGCAAACAGCCTTTGGAGGCAGGCAGCCTGAGCAAGATTCCATGCTCAGCTTGTCCACGGAACCGCTGTTTCGCCTCCCTGAGCCTAACTACTGGGAGCTCTTTACAAGCAGCCCCAGACTCTGTGTGAAAGGATGTCATAAACCAGTCAATACTCAGAAACACAAAGGCTTGTCAACTCTCCCCGAAGAGGACATGTGAAGGTGTGTAGGGGAAAGAAAGCACTGGCATTCTCCAGCATAGCGGGGCCAGGACCCTCATTCATTCTCTGTAAACATTTAGAAACAGCACTGAGCAAGTTAATGCCTACACTTTCTCCAACTTCGCTTTTAATCTGGTCTTCTGCAGGGAGAACACAACAATGATCAGGTTTATGAGAAGCATCTCTCAGCCACAGCAAATACCTCCACATTCTGCCTAGCACCCTGCAACTGGTCTCTCCCTAAGGTAAGCTAAAAAGTCTGACTTAATTGAATATTAAACACGAAATTCCTCATTCAAATTCTTTTTAGTACAGTTGTTCAAAGCTCCTAAGAATCAGATTTTAAAAGGTTAAAGCTGAACACAGATCAAAAATCCGAAGCTCCCAGAAAATTGTATTTTCTGGTCACCGTTGCCTAAAAGTGTCATAATTTTTTTAAGGTGGATGACCGCATGTGTAACCTAATCACACATTTTTCTCAACTTTTTGTTGAATGTATGTGTGACTATTTCTAAAATATCTTGGATATGTTCTATATTCCACTGAGTACTAGCTACTTCCCCTGAACATCACAAACCCATTCCCTGTCTCTTCAGAGAACTAGAAATGATAGGAAGAAACAAACGGCAGTGAAAATAGTGTATCCTGACTAGTTTGCCTTTACAAATTAAGGGACCAAATCTCACACAAAATTAAAGCAAGAAACATGACAGCCCATTCAGTAGCCCCACAAGTGTGAACATCATTAGGAGACCTTACTAGGATATGAAATAGCCCCTAAAAACTGAACTTATTCATCAGCAAATTTCCAAACAAAAATGAATTCTCTGCATACCGGGGAATAGGATTTTCACTCCATCCTCTAAATTTAGTGCTCCTGGCCAAACTAACTGCTTTAGAGGAAAGATCATTCTTTTCATTTTTTCATGTATTAGCAGAAGAAATACAGCTGGAGAGATGCACCCCACTTTTGGAAGGTCTCTTTAATTTTGAACCTAAAGTCAATCCTGCAATTACACAAGGTTTTGGAGTTCTGGGTTATATCTAGGACAAATTGAGTGCGTGTAGATTAAGGTGTGAGGAAGAAGAAAAACTTAGAGAATCAGCCTGGAAATTTTTCATGAAAACTCCTCCATTACAAACATCAGATTTTTTACTTTCCTTTTTCCCATCTCCCATTTAAACATCCACTGATCATTGGTTTCATCTGTGTCAGGAATAAGTGAGTGGCACTCACCTACTGGGATCCATCCCAATAATCTGCCTCCCTAACTCTTGGTATAACATTGCATTCTTGTTAAACAAAATTGTTGGAGTGAAGCAATACTTAGGAGAGAGGATAGCCCAACTCTGAAGGCCAAATTTGCCTTTTGGATAAGAAAACCAAATGAATATCAAATCCTGAATTAACAAAATTTCTCTTTAGCGGAACCTTTCATTGCTAATGTTTCATTTCATCCTTTTAAGAAAGGTTCCTATGGTTTCTCCTAATTCAAATATTTCCAAGCTTTTATTTAGTTGGAAGTATAACATAAAATGGAAAATAACCAAAATATAATCTTGATTTCTGCCTGGGCGCTCTCTAGTGCCCAGATTATTAAAATAAAGCCTTTCCATTGAATTCGGTCTTCTGCTATAAATCCAAAAGATTTTTAGCCATTTTGTACACATTCTTATTAGAAGTCTCCAAGCCAAACAAGAAATAGTAAATAGTACCTCCCCCAAAGAGCTCATCAGCAAAAGATTACTATACTTTTAGCAAAACTTTCTTAATGCTTAAGATTGCTCCCCAGGAGTATGCTATTCACTATGGAAAGTAACAGAACATCATCACATTAAGCAAATTTTAATCCTGTAAAATAGCTAACCAAATACTCAAATCAAGTCTAATAAAGTGAAAAATCTTTGACTGTAGAGATCTGTATTATTTGGTTTTGTTTCTCAAATTTTAGCTAACTTTCAGGAAATAAAAAGCTAGAGCACTCAGCATGCAGCATCCTCTAGTATGTTTTTCTTTTATTAAACGTTTCACCAGTAACAAGTTGCTATGGAATTTCTTAAGTTTCTACTCTAAGGAACTGAGTTTTCTATATGGTTTAATCTCATAATCTGCCTTGGAACTTTCCTTATGAGTCTACACTCTAATTCTATATTTTTATTTTTATAATTATATAGCAATTATTAGAATATTACCTATAAAAATCTTTTTTATATCATCTTCAAAATGTGGCCTTCAGAAGTGGTCAATCAGCTCACATGGTAAAGATCTAGTCCTTTTTTTCCCCAATATTGTATATGTGATGATATATTCCAAAATTGTAGTTTGACAGTTAAGACAAACTGTTCTGCCTGCTGCTGTCCTTGATCTGCCACTGACTGAAGACAACAAAGATACAAGTTCTTGCAAGTCAAAATTTGAAGTTTATTCATGTCTCAATTTTTTTCTTGAATAATGCCTTTGTATTTTTTCTCTTTTCCATAAATTTGATTTCTTTGAGAGTATGTTCGAAGTCTTTTTCTTGTTTCAAATTACACTTTTCAAGTCTGTTAATTATTTGTTATTTCCCATTTATTTCTTCATTCTTCTCAAGTGTTTCCTTTAGTTTTGTCTTGTTTGCTTTTTGCAGTGCTGGGGATCAAATGTGGGACCTCACACACACTAGGTAAGTGCTGGACCACCGAACCACATCCCCAGTACTCTTCTTCTTGACCATATGACAGCAGAACCTGTTCACCTTTTTACTGCTTTCACTGTGGTCTTGATTTCTATGATTATTTTGTATTTCTCTTCCTTTTCATGAATTGTGCTGGCTCACTTTTCATGACCTTTTGCAACTTTCAAATTTTATCCATGAAACTCTCAACTTGTTTCAAAGTTCTTTATTCTCTTAGGCAATTTAAAACTAAGTTTTATGAACAGAATAGAAGGATATAGCCACCGGAATAGCTCAGTTGGGAGAGCATTAGACTGAAGAATAGAAGGATATATTTGCAAGCCATACATTTGATAAGGAATTCAACTCAAAAGTAAGAAAAAATACTAATTAAATGATTGGTAAAGGGGAGCATGTCAAAGGCTCTGGAGTTGACTGAAAAGAGGATCGAGGGTATAAAGGATTTTAAAAGGCATTTTTCTAAAGAAGATATATAAGCATGCACAAGACCCATGCAAACTCAATCAGACAAGAAGCCCAGCATAGAACTGGGGAAATGGGCAGCTGATTACTGTAGGGTGAGAAAGAGTTGATTTTCTTGAAGGGGGTGACTCTAGATTGGCTGACTGGACTCCAGTGAATGAACTTGCACTGAGGCACATCTGAGTACAAAAGCTTGACTGGATAGGCCTTAACATATATGACAGAATGCATGAAATTCGGTGGGGGCGGGCTATGGGGAATGCGGATTGGGGAAGGGGTCTAAATATGATTAAGATGTATTATATGAAATGCACAAAACTTCAATAAAAATATACATTGAGAAAAATAAATAAATAGATAGATAAATGGCTAACTGGTATATGAAAAGAGTTGAAAATCACTAATCACCAAAGAATAGACAAAGAAATGAAAATTTAAAATACAATGAGGTATCATCTTACACCAGTTAGAAAGAGTATCAGAAAGATGAAGTGTTGCTTTGGAGGTGGAGAAATCGTAATCCTTTCACATTATTGGTGGAAATATAAATTAATGCAGTCACTATGAGAACAGTATGAAGGTTCCTCAAAAATTAAAAATAAGGCTCTCATGTGGTCTAGAAATCCCAGTACCATGTAGATATTCAAAGAAAAATCAAATAAGTATGTCAAGGAGCAATCTGAATTTCCATATTCACTGAAGTATTATTCGAAACAACTTAGACATGGAATCAATCTAAGTACCCGCCAGCATATGAATGGATAAAGAAAATGCCTATATACCCAACAAAATGCTATTTAAAGGAGCACATCTTGCCATTTTTGACAACATAGATGAACCCAAATTACATTAAGGAAAATAAGCTCAGAAAGAGAAATGCCACATGGTCTCACTTGTACAGCCAGCCTTCATATCTTTGAGTTTCAGAGCCATAGAGTTAAATGATCAAAAGCATTCAAAAAGTTGCTTCTGATCTAAAATGTAGAGATTTTTTTCTTGTCACACTCTCCTGAACAATAACAAATATTTATACATCATTTACATTGTAAGTAATCTAGAGGTGACTTAAAGTATATAGCAGGACATCCATAGATTATATGCAAACACAAAGCTATTTTATATGAGGGATTTGAGTATCTGCATATTTTTGTTATATGTACATGGGGGCCCTGAAACATCCTCCTCCCCTTTTTTTTTTTACTAATTTTCAATTTACTTCTCTGGGTAGTATTATCTAGAAATTTATCATCTAATATTTATCCTTCTTTATAACATATTTTCCTTATCCTGTATTATCTCGAAAACCTGTATCAGTATTGAATAGTAGTTATAAGAAGTATTCTGTTGCAATCATTATTTTTATGGGAAAATTCTATTTAATATTTAAAATGAAAGTAGACAATATCTTGTGATAGCTGTCAAATTTTTATCAATTTTCTCTTCAGTGTGAATCCTAATAATGAACTCGTATTGTGTTTATCATGATATGAGATTTGTGTAAGGCCTCTTTTGGAAAACATTGATGGTATCTTAGTCATATTTTTAGTTCAAGTTAGGCATTATTTAATAAACTTTTGTCAAGGAGAGTAGGTTGTAGTGAATTTACACTTTCCTTTTCATCAACACTTGAAGACGATTTTCATGTGCAGCTCAGAGGAAGATCTACTGGAATTCATGCCAAACACACAGGAATGTGAAATTCTAATGTGAATAAAAACATTATGTGATTGAACAAGGTGGGGTGGCTCTTAATACAGTGAAATTCTACAAATTTGATTTTGTAAGAAGTAATAAAACTCTAGAACTTTCTGTTCTTGCAGCAAAAAGACATGAATTTTAATTTTTTTAATTTTTACAAAAACTTTGAGAATTTCATACATGTATATAAGGTGTTTTGATCAAACCCATGCCCACTCCCTCCCCTCCAACATTCTCCCCTCTGAAGAGATAACCCTAAAATCTTTTAAGGATTAGATACAAGCTCCCAAATACTTTGGACATTTTTGGCCTTCGGAACAGAGTATGTTGCTAACAGGCCCAAGAACATTTTGACTTTTAACTCCAAAACTGGCTACATTTCTTTGAGGTCTTTTCACCCTAACTGCCTAGCCAATTCTTACCTCCTATTCTTATCACAACATCCTCTGAAGGTGTTATCCAAATTGCCAATAGGGAATAAGGACAAAATCTATCAGGAAAAGTATATGATATGGTTTGTCCCTCAAAGGCTCATATATTGAAAGCAGGGTCCCTAGTAAAATACTATTGATAGGTCATAGTACCTTTATAAGATGTGGTCTTCTAAAAGATGATGAGGAGACAAAGAAACCACCCTCAGAAGGGATTAATTCCCATCTTGGTATTGCAGCAGTTAGTTGGGTCTCTTGGGACTGGATTAGTTACCATGACAGCAATTTGGCTTCATGATCTCACCATCTTGCCTCCTCTCTTACTGGGGGAACTCTCCCAGGTCACTCTTCTACTTCCCACTGTGCAGCACATTACAGATGAGCAGATGCTGGTACCATGCTCTTTGATTTCCCGAGCTCCAAAACTTTGGGCAAAAATAAATAAAAGTGCCCTTATAACTTTCCCAATCTCAAGTATTTTTTGTTATAGTGACAAAAAGTCATGGCTGTATAATAATCAAATGCAATTCAGGACCTCAATCTCTTCCTGGTAGAACTGATTTGGCCATTAAAGCATGACTTTGAGTTCTGGAGGGGTTTGAAAGTAAAATATTCTAAACAATCATATGAAACAATATATCAAAATGTGCTGTAGAACCCATACCACATAGAAATGTGACGTTTGTCAAAGTATAGAGTAGCTGCATAGGAGAGTATCAGATAAGGAAGTGACACCAGGTGGTAATTCAAATCTCCACACAGTAATTCAAATCCATAGTAACAAAGGAATAGAACCAGAAATGACAAGTAAGAATGCTATAAATTTAGAGTTGACTTTTATAACATTTTCTCTTGATATCTCATATATATAAATATCTCATATATATATATATATAATTGCACAAAGTATCTTAAACTAATTTTTTTATTTTTTGAGACAAGAGCTCATGTAGCCCAGGCTGACGTCAAACGCATGATGTAACTGAAGTGACCTTGAACTCCTGGTTCTCCTGAATGCTGGAATTACAGGTGTATATCACCATACCCTGATTTATGTGATGCTGGGATCAAACTCAGGGCCAAATCCATACTAGGCAAGTAATCTACCAACTGAGCTAGATCCCCAACACAATAAAAATGTTTTGTTCTGTATAATATATAGAGGAGTGTGTTTTTGTTTCTTGCAGTTATTTTAACAAATTACCACATACTGCATGGTTATGACACAATTTTTCTCCTAGATCTGAAGAAGTCCAAATTCTATGTGTTTGAGAGTTGTACCCCATCTAGAGGTTCTGGGAGAATTCCATTCCTTACCTCTGTCAGGTTCTGGTGGCTGTTGCTATACTCTAGTCTCTGATTCCATTTTCACATGGCTTTCTCCTCTATGTATATGTGTCCTCATTTCCTCTATCTCTTAGAAAGATGTTATGGGAATTAGTACTCACCTAGAAAATCCAGGCGATCATATCCAAAGACCCTTAATTATATCTCTTTTCACTCAATTTAATGAAAAAATTTATTTAAAAGCACAAAAACATAGAACTAAAATTTCCAATCTCATACGAAATAATGGGTCCACCAAAAGGTTATAAAGGTAAACCTGCATATTTTGGGGGATTATAGTCACTATAGAGAGAACAAGTTATTTTTCAAAGAAATGTATCTGGGAAAATTCTGACCACAAGGTAGATGGTGACCTAATCTTTTATCCTCAGGTTGAACCTGCTGATGTGGGAAGCCTCCAGGGTGGCAAGAAGATACTCTGAGAAAGCCTCTTCCAGGAGCCTGAGGTGTTGTGGGAAGGGTCTTTCTGAAGGATACCTCCTTTTCTTGACCCCCCTCCCTGGCAAGATTAACCAGCCACCTAACAAGTCTGACACTCCCAGGAGGGAGATTAAGGATGCATATCCATCATGTCTGTCTCTATTCAGTAATGGCTTGCCATCTCTAACACAACATACAGTGACAATTTGCACACAATGTGAAGGATCTGAGGAGAGAAAGGGACACTGGCATTTTCATCATCCTCCTAGTGGTCGATCATGTCTACACACTGTGCATGTCTACACACTGTGCAGGTGAGAGTTATAGTTCTTGAACATGGCCAGGATGCTCCATAAGAGCAGAGAGCTCCAGAACTTGGAGACTAACCTGGGTAAGTCTTTTGGTTCTGGTTCTATAACCACAGACTGAAGGTGGCACAATATATGAAGACACAGTTCTGCCTCTGGATCACTCAAAAGTCACCAGGGTAAAGGGCTGAACTCTGGACTCTTGCTGATGTATTTCAAGTCTTTTGAACAGATACATTGTACAGGGATATCAGCAGTCCCACTTTGAGTTTGGTGCCTGGGTTCAAGTGCCCCAGAAGCTGCAGCATGGAGTCCAAGAACACCTGACTTTATTAACCAAGAGTTATTAACCAAGAATTTAAGACCACAAGCAATAGCAGCAACATTTGTTACAAGTTCCAGCCAGTGCAAATACAAACTGATTTTAATCAGAATTGCCCTTTTTAATGTCTCCATCCAGTGATGTCATAAAACTCTCCACATGTGCACAATACTCTGCTTTCTGGAAGAACTGCTGTCAAATAGCCAAGCTCTCCCTCCATTGTCAGCCTACACAGTTTCCAGGCAGGCCTTGAAGTACTCACAGTTCAATTTCATATGCTCTAATTCTTGCCCCTTCCAGGTTTTTCCTATAATCTTTTTTAATTTCTGGAAGCTTTCCTTTACCTCACCATTTAGTATTCCGGGTAAGAAATCTGAAATTTGCATCATTTCAGTTGTCAGTCCTTCTGGGTCCTCCTTTCTGGCTTTAAAAAATTCTTCTTTACACCCCATAAGTCTGCAGGGCCCCTGTACACTCTCTGCAGTATGCCAATGTGGTACCCTCTAGCCCCACAAACCAGAAAGGTCTGAAATGCCACATGAGATTCTGATAGGGAGCTGAAAGTTTCAAATATCTATGAGTTTGCGCCACATTCTTAGCCTCTAGGTCTGGGGTGGGATGAGACCCACCACCCCTCTTCTACTTCAGCTTGATTTCAAGCTTCTGACCTCACTGCCAATGGCCTTGAACTTGAGTGACCCACAGGACACCCACACAGTTTCCCTGAACACAACTTAATTACATTGTGAAAGATTATTTTCCACAAAAGGTCACCAAATTTGAGGAATCAGAATGTGAACACATTGGTGGAGCATACAATTCAAACCCATAACATGTAATAGGGTGGACAATAATAGCAAAAGAAGGTAGTATTAATACTATATCAGAGTAATTTATCATATCCCATTAGAATTGAATTATAAACCTGAAGTTGACCTTGATACGCTATAATGTATATGGAAGCTCTAGAGAAACGCTGAGAAAATAATTCAAGTTGAAATTTTGTTAAAGAAGTGATGGTGTTATCTTCTAAAATAATAATAATTCTGCAAAGGAGGGCATAAAGGCAAAGGAGAAGTAGGGCATATGAAAAGGAAGGAGAAAAATGACAAACATGAATTGAACTATATCAATAAACATTAAATGTATTAAAATCATTTCAAAAAGAATTGTCAGACTAGATGTTTTCATGTGTTTTATGTATATGCGTGTTTTGCTGCATGTGTGTAAGTGTACCACATGCATACAAAGGTCCTGGGGGGACAGAAGAAGACATTGGAAATGTCTGCCTTGGAAATGGAGTTAAAGCTGGTTGTTAGCCACAATGTGCATGATGGGAACTGAACTCAAGTCCTCAGCAAGAACAAGTGTTCTTAACCACTGAACCATCTCTCCATTCCCCCAGACTATATTTTCTTAAGCCCAACAATATCTGGGCTGGGGGTGGGGGGCAGCACAGTGGCAAAGTGTTTGCCTGGCATGCTAAGCACACTTCCCACCAGGGACTCTCCAATCACCCCACGTGGCCCAGAGACCTAGGTAAGCTACCTGGCCACATCCTACCTGTCCCCTTCCATTCTGGTAACCCCCAAAGCTAGCATATTTGCTAGGGATTTCTACCACCTCCTCTCAACCACTCTCTCCCTCTTTGGGTCTCCCCAAATACCAGTCTGCTTCCCAGCAGAGACTCTCCAGTTTCCCTACATGACAGGGAGCCCTTCACTCTCTTCAGGACTCACAAGTCAGCTGCCTAGCTGGGACCTTCCAGTTGCTCTATCTGGTCTTAAGGCCCAGGACTAGTCCACACTGCCAGGGGAAACTTACTCCAAGCTGCTGCAAGCACCAGACTGCAGCTGACAAGCAGATCTGGGGTAAGGAATATAGCTGGAAATACCAGAAAAGCAGAGGAAACTGCCGTCCTGACTTAGCTATCAATTCACACCCTCCTGAACATTGTAAACAACTCTGCTGAAGAAAAAAAAAAGGTGATTTGAACAAAAAAGAAAGAAAAACAAAACTAACTCCAGATATGCAAATCCCAACTCAGAAATAAAAACAAAGCAAAACAAAAACACCAAAATAGCATGTCGCCTCCAAAAAATACAAATCCAATAGTAACAACCCTGTGAGAAAATGATCTGGAAGAACTTCCAAAGAATTAAAAATAATGATAGTAATTGTGGTCAAACAATTCAAAGATGACAAAGAGAAAGGAATGAATGAAATAAAGAAGTAAATCTAAAACATAAAAATAGGGTTTGAATTGTTGAAGAAAATTCAAAGACAAACGATGCTGGAAATAAAAACTCAATAAAGCAAATAAATATGTCCATGGAAAATCTCACCAACAGAATGAATCATGTTGAAAACAGAGTAAGAAATGGGAGACAGAGTAGAGGGGTTGGCTCATTCAGTAATAGCCAATAAGAAATTTTAAAATGTATGTGTGAATGGGACATGAGAATTTTGGAGCAGCATTAAAGACCTAACCTTCTAATTATGGACATAGAAGAATGAGAGTAATGCCATAGAATAAGCATAGACAATATCTTCTGTAAAATCATAGAAGAAAATGTTCCAAAGCAAAAAGAAGAGATGCCCATCCAGGCAAAAAATTCCTACAGAGCACAACATAGACAGGACCAGAAAAGAAACTCCCCATTACATATAAAATATTAAAAACACAGAATAAAGACAGAGTATTGAAAGCTGCAACAGAGAGGTCTTCAAGTCACTTATAAAGCAGACATACTAAAATAACACCCGATCCCTCAACAGAAACCTTTAAAGGAAGAAGGGCCTGGAAAGATGTATTCCAAATTCTGAAAGACCACAATTATCAACCCAAATTAGTATACCCAGCAAAACTATCTATCAAAATAGAGGACAAATAAAAATTCTCTTTGATAAAAACAGACTAAAGGAATTTACGATTACTAAGCCAGTTGTATAGCAGATACTAGAAGAAATATTTCAATCTGATCAAAGGATAAACACACTCAAGGGCTCACATGGAACAAATAAACCATGGTAGGACAAGTAGTCAAAAGATACTGAGAAAACACTACAAAATATACAAAATGTCAGGAATTAATACACATCTTTCAACAATAACTCTGAACAGTAATCTCACTTCCCCAACAAAAAGACACAGACTAATAGATTAGATTAGAAAACAGATCCAGGGGCTGGAGAGATGGCTCAGCGGTTAAGAGCACTGACTGCTCTTGCAGAAGACCAAGGTTCGATTCCCAGCTCCCTCAGGGTGGCTACGAACCGTCCTTAATTCCACTTCCAGGGGAATTAGAAGCCCTCTTCTGACCTCCACAGTATTGTGCACAGTATTGTGCAGGCCATACACTCATACACATAAAATAAAAATAATAAAAAATATAAAGAAAACAGATACATATTTTTGCTTCCTTTGAGAATCATACCTAACAACAATAGACACCACCTTAGGGTAAATGAATTAAAAGAGATATTCCAAGCAAATGGAGCTAAGAAACAAGCAGGTATAGCTATTTTAATATCTTCTGAAATAGACTTCAAACCAAAACTAGTCCAAAGAGAATAGAAGGGACACTTCATACTCAAGCAAAGAAAAATCTACCAAGAGTATATTATAACCCTAAACATTTATGTATCAAACATAGGGACACTCAGTTTCATAAAGGCATATTACTAGATCTAAAACCACATATTAACCACAACACAATGATAGTGGGTGACTTCAATATCCATTTCTAACCAATAGACAGCTCATCTGGGAAGAAACGAAACAGAGAAACACTGGAGTTAAATGACATCATAAACCAAATGGACTTAGCAAACATCTATAGAACATCCCACCCAAACACTAAAGAATATACATTCTTCTCAGAGCTCATGGGACTTTTTCAAAAATCAACCACATATTAGGACACAAAGAAAGTCTGAATAAACATAGGAAAATTGAAATAACATCCTACATTCTATCCCACCACAAAGAAATAAAGCTGTATATCAATAGCAATAGAAACCACAGAAAGTACACAAACCATGGAAACTGAGCAACAAACTACTGAATGGTAATTGGGAGAAATCAAGAAGGAAATAAAATATTCCAAGAATTGAATAAAAATAAAAACACAACCTATCAAAATCTATGTAACACAATGAAGACTGTCCAAAAAGTAAAGTTTATAGCACTAAGCACACATGTTAAAAAATGAGAACTCACAAATGAATAATTTTATGATGCCCCTAAAGGCCTTGGAAAACCAAGAAAAAAACAATACCCAAGAATAATAGGTGGGGAGAGATAATCAAAATCAAGGCTGATATTAGTGAAATAGAAACAAAAAAAAAACAGAGTGGATTACTTGAAAAGATTAATAAGAAATCTTAAGGTAGTTTTGATTGGCATTTCCCTAATTACAAAGAATGTGCAACACTTTTAAAGGTATTTCTTAGCCATTTTAATTCTTCTTCAGAGAGGTCTCTGTTCAAACCCATAGCCCATTTTAATTGGTAATTTGTTTTCTTAATCCTTTGTTTTGGAGAAAGTTATTTTATTTTTGAGACAGGATCTCCTTGTAGCCCCAGCTGGCCTGAAACTTGCTATATAGACCAGGCTGACCTCCATCTCACAGAAATC